TGCGTAGTTTATTTTTAGGCGTGTTACGATGCGACATGTCACTTCGGTTACAAAAAGACATTGGTTACCACAACATTTTTAGTAGCCTACAATGGTGGAGGGCGTTAGGTTTGCCAAAGACACAAACCTATGACTCTAGCTCCTCTAGCGCTTAGCAATTGACAAGCACTCCAAGTACCAAAATCGTGAAGGCATACCTAGTAATCAAGATGTTTATGGAACACTGGGTAAGGGATGTTAGGTTGCCAAAGTCTATAGTGAGCAACAAAGATATTATACTCACTAGTGAGCTACGTAAGAAGATTGTCGAACAAATAGGTTCTCAATTACAAATGACTTTTGGGAATTATCCTGAAACTCAGGAGCAAGCAGAACTTATGAACCATGTAGTACAGCACCTGTTGAGGCATTACATCAAGCCCAGCCAGGAAGGCTGGGATGAGAATCTCTCTCTCTCTCTCTCTCTCTCTCTCTCTCTCTCTCTCTCTCTCTCTCTCTCTCTCTCTCTCTCTCTCTCTCTCTCCTGATGTTGATGATGTCGAGATACTGACCAACGATGATGGCCTCTCTAATGCAAGTCGCCAGTGCGAAGGTCCACCTATAGCTCCCAGGTAAGTCTCCACTCACCTCCTCTCGCGGTCAGGCCCACCAGCCTCCACACTCCCCACTACTACTACTCCTCTAGCACTTTTCTGACGCAGCTAAACTCCAACTGGGCACCGTTCTCCAGGAGAACGGCACCTGAATGTTGTTCCAGCTGAATGGTCACCTGGACTGCCCAGCTATATACCGTTGGGCCTGCTTGGATGCCCAATCATCTACAATCACAGTCATCCGATCTCATATTCAATTGGCAACCCTGATCGCAGGCCCAAGCCCTAGTACTGCAGTCCTGGCCTAAAATGGTCTGCCTAGATCCCTACCGAATGTCCAGGCAACACTGCTGATCCAGTAGGGCACTGAACATTGAGTCAGGCACAAACAAACAAACTCCTGGTCCAGTGCCAGATGCCGACAGGCCTGATCCTGGCCCACTACGGCCAAAACTGAAATCCACTAGCCCGAACAGGCACCAGCCTGTTCAGACAACAGAAGAGTTTGAAAAGACACATCTGGGACAGACAAAAATAGAACAGACAAAACTCAGCTCCAAACTCAATCAACACAAACAAACAAATAAATAAATGCTGAATAAAAGAAAAGCGTATGGGACAAAAAATATGGGCCTAGGGCTAAAGGGTGGCTGTGGCCCACCAAGTCACCTAGTCTTGAATTTTATCCACATCGCCTCATTCCTGTTTGCATTGCTACTCCCGAGTCCTTCTCTTCACGTCGGTGGTCTTTGGAGTCTGCACACTGCCTATCTGATCATAGGCATGCATCACATCCCCTCTCTTAAGGTAGTCCGCTTAATTAGCTTCCAGGTAGTCCTCTTACATCGTATGGGACAAAAAATATGGGCCTAGGGCTAAAAGGTGGCTGTGGCCCACCAAGTCGCCCAGTCTTGAATTTTATCCACATTGCCTCATTCCTGTTTGCATTGCTACTCCCGAGTCTTTCTCTTCACGCCGGTGGTCTTTGGAGTCTGCACACTGCCTATCTGATCATAGGCATGCATCACATCCCCTCTCTTAAGGTAGTCCACTTAATTAGCTTCCAGGTAGCCCCCTTACACCCCAAACACAAGGAGAGTTAGGAAACTTTATTCTAACGAGTGAATCCAAGGGGTTGGTGCCTCCTGCTCCGTTGCGAGTTTTGTCAGAGGCCGGCTGGATCAGTCTATAGCATACTTGTGGTGCACCTGTGCAGTGCGCCATGTGCTGCGGTGCACGGAGCACTGTATGCGTTATGCCTGATATACGCACACCGCGCACCACGCGCACAAGGTGAGGTTCGTTGGGGTGCATGCCACAGCACGTTGTGCACGCACACCGGTACAATGCTATTTTTCATTTCATGGGTGTGGGTGTGGGTGTGGGTGTGGGTGTGTGTGTTAAGCATGTGTGTGTGTTGAATTTCACCACAACTGCCCCTATTCGACCCAGATGAGTGGATCCAAAATTGAAGCAAATTTAGTCCTATTGCAGACAACGAGAACACTTGACTTGAGGCAATCCAACAATGAAACAGTTTCACCTCTATAGCAAGCAACACCGAGCATAACAGAGGTGATTAAATCCCTTTCTTAAATATGTTCACTTTGGCGTTTTTGGGTACCCCTTTCATCTGTTCTTACAACTCCCCTTTTATTATGCCTCTCATGTACAAGTCCTCGCCACGTTGGTTGTGGTTGAATGCGAGCTAGCCACATCCCTGTGTGCCATAACGGCCCATTTGCACAATATGAAAGGAGGCAAAGTAAAGGAGGAGGTATATTCCTGTTCATTTTTTTTATCTGTTCTCTTAGTGATGTTCATTCGCATGCATTTACTAGTACTACACGAAAGGAGAGGAGGAAGGAAATAGGAGGTGGAGTTCTCACAGGGTTCTAAATACTCACCGCTGGGCCAGACTACTCTCGAATGGCACATGAGGCCAGTCAGTGTTTGGGTTGCATAAGATCTTGAATTGAGGAGCAGCCATTGCCTATGGTAAGTGGCCATCCCAACAGACTAGACAGGACCAGTTCAGGTGTGGACTGTGTAAGCACCGCATCCATTTCACGTAGTCGCAGCTGCTGAATCGAATGGCACGGCATAGACAGATGTCACAGGCTACATGGCTCCTACATGCTAGGAACACAGAGGCACGCCGACCACATTGTAGAGGCATTGCAGTTTTAGCCCGTCTACAAGTTGGACTTGACATGTCAGGGTGCAGTGCATGAGCGCAGTATTGATTGTCATCATCCATATGAAAACAAAATCTCGCATGGGCTATCCCTTCATGATCCTCACGGCACAAGGCATGTAAACCACATGATAGCCGAATCTCACGTGGGTCATCACAGAGCGGCATTGAACAGGTTTCATGGGCTTCCCCAGTATTCATTCCCGCTCTATGGGTAGACACCGATGGGGATTGATCCAAAGCCAGGGTGTTTAGCTGCCTCAGGATGTGGTCTGCAACACGTGTGTGTGTGTGTGTGTGTGTGTGTGTGTGTGTGTGTGTGTGTGTGTGTGTGTGTGTGAGGGAGAGTGAGAGAGAGAGAGAGAGAGATGCCCTACACTAGTACTTTTTCTGCTAAGCTCTGGACGTGACTGCTGTCAGATTCATCCAGGTCTGGCCGTAATTTCAGTTGTGCTAGTGTGAGGTTCAGACAAGCACGTAACGTATCTCTGGGCATACTCGTTACGCGTGTCACCCTTGTGCAGGGGCCATGCTAATCTTCTCTGTATCGTTATCTGTGTCATACTTGCACAGGGGTCGTGCTAATCTTCTCTGTGGGCATGCTCACACTAGGAGTTTCCTGGATGTATCTGCTGGCTGTATCTGACTTCACTTCCCACCCGTCGTGCATGTACATGATAACAATTACATCCACAGAGTCGTCAAAAGTCCTAGTGAGAGTCCGGCCCTTCCAATTTCAACGGATGCCCCAGTATCTTTGAGTGCATCTCTGAATGAATATAACGCGTCTTTCAGGTCCGATACAGTCATGATGAGGTTCCCCTGTGCTCTGGCAAGCTGGACTGTCAGAGCCAGAGCACAACAAAAACTCATTGTGACTGTGTCAGACCTGAAAGGTAGGTTAGCTGCATTGAGGGATGTAGAAAGTGGAGTAGAGACAAAAATTCTTTTTCATTTGTTTTTCCATTTTTAACAGCCACTTCACAAACAGCCCATTACTATTACTGGGAAAAAGGAAACGAGGACTGTCAAAACCTTCGTTCCGGGCGACATAAGGCTTCATCATAATGACCATATAGGACCTCAAAGATGCCCCGAGTATATTCAGAATCCGTTGGGGCCAAGGGAGCCGTGAATCCTTGACCACTGGCAGCCTCTTCCCCCCCCACACACACAATGTTTTTCAGGCCTTGGCCTTGGCACGGCCCCAAAAAGAATTGCTCAGCCTGTTACTAATTTTCGGCAGGCCAGGGGACCGTTGTTTCAGCACCCCCTCAACTTTTCTTTTTTCAGGGGACCGCGATTTTTGCCCTTGCGCCGCACCCCGTGCACGTGCCACATGCACAGCGCGCACTGCGCTGCTTGTGCATGACTGACACATACGTGACGCGCCACAAGTACGATCTACAGGGACTGGTCAGCCCTGCTTCATTTACTTTCTTTCAGTCGGCTTCTGTTTTTTCTTTGCCCACGCCACATGCACTGCACCAGGGGGGGCTGCTCGGTGCAATCATCACTATATTCCAGACACCGGAACTCATTTCTCTGCATGTTACTGGCCCAGTCTGTTTCGACCCATGCAGTTTCCCTGGGCCAGGGGGATCTGTCCTGCCAAGGGCCTGCTTCCCTAGCCATAGCCATGAATTCCCCCACCAGGTGACTCTTGTAGCCTAGGAAAGAAAGATATAATCTTTGCAAATACTTGCTAACCCCTCCCTTGACAGATAACCACACATCAGCCTCAGCTCTGGACCTCCACCAGCCTGGCGCACTGTACAGTTAGTTCCAAGACACCAGTGGCCCAAATGTAGTGCCACAACATCCATCCGACCCACCCATCTTCTGCCATTGAAGCATTTATGACAACAAAGAAGAACACGTTGAGGAAAAGGAGGAAGAGGCAGCAACAGGAGGGTGAAGATGAGGAGAAGGAGGAGGAAGGAGAAAACGGCGATGAGTAATAAAACAAAAAGGCAGCACAGGATGAACTACAGAGAGGAGTACAAGGGAAGCAGAGAAGTGGGAGCGGAACAATCTGAAAAAAGAAGAAGAGAAGCGAGAAGGGGGAATAGTAAGAAACAGCACAATCGGGCGAAAAAAAGAGCAAGAGAAGAAAGGAGTGGAGAAGAAAGAGAAGGAGGAGAAGAAGGAGAAGAGGAGAGGAGCAAGCCAAGCTGAGGCCGTTCGAGCACAAATGGAATTGCTATCACCTCTGGTTTTTTGAAGGCAGACAAATGCTCCACAATCAAGAAAGCCGATAATGACAACGTTGTCAAAACGAAGAATCCAGCAACAACTAAGGCGACCGAATGAAGATTTGGTCCATTGTTCTTCAGCATGCTTCCTTATGTCTCTCCTGCTGTTCCTCCTGTGCACGTCAGCCTCAGCCCAGCTCCCTTTTCCAGCCAATCATTAACCTCTCAGCTCAGCATCCCACTGCTTAACCCGAATTATACACTGAAACCTGCCCCCTTTCTGCAACCTAAAATCTCTCACAATTGCCCCTGGGCAAGAACCTCTGGGACAAAGAATGCTGTGCATGTGCACAGTTTTCCCTTCTCTCTCCCTACCTTCTTTCTCCCTACGTTCTCTCTCCTCTCTCTGCTTTCCCCTGTGTCTACTACTACTCTTTCTCTCCTTCTTGATACGTGTACAACCTCCCCCTTACAGATAGCACCCTGCATACATAAACAGCAACTTCTCAGGTTTCCTGTTGTTTTCCTTCACTTGCCCCTCTTCTCCTCCAGGTATCACCAGTCTTTCCTACCTTCTTTCTCCCTACGTTCTCTCTCCTCTCTCTGCTTTCCCCTGTGTCTACTACTACTCTTTCTCTCCTTCTTGATACGTGTACAACCTCCCCCTTAAAGATAGCACTCTGCATACATAAACAGCAACTTCTCAGGTTTCCTGTTGTTTTCCTTCACTTGCCCCTCTTCTCCTCCAGGTATCACCAGTCTTTCCTTTCCTATAGCTTTCACTCTTTTCCTCTTTGCCAACCTCCGCACCCACATTTCCTCAAGGCAACCAGTTGAATATTCTCTCCAACTCAATCTCACAGATTTCCTCTACCCAGACAGTCAATCCCCCGCGCCCAGCCAGCAGTATACCGCCTCACAATGACCGGAGTCTAGGAAGTTGATGGATGGGAGGACGGCCTCAACATCGACAACACTGCAGACATTGGACTGCCTCTTGCCAAGCCGTCCCTCACCAGAAGCCAAGATGTAGACACATGTTATGTCATCATTTACTAACCTCCTCTGTTCGAGAATACCACAATACCTCGCCAACAACCTGCAAGATAATTGCAAAAGCAGATCCCAGCCAGTCAGTCTCTCTCTCTCTCTCTCTCTCTCTCTCTCTCTCTCTCTCTCTCTCTCTCTCTCTCTCTCCCCGGCCCCCCCCCCCCAACTTCTTCCCTTCCCCACCCATCCTCACTCACTTCCTGAGTAGTTTACCTCACCTAATTGCCATATCCAGCAGCCAATTGATGCTCTCTCCATACGAACTCTTTCCTATACCTCTGGGCAAGAAGGATAGGTGTCTCAGATTGTTATCCAATACTGCAGTGGCAGCTGGGTTACACCCCTCCCCACCAAGGACCACATACCTTCCGCACACACTGGGTTCAGGATGAGAATCTGGATTTCAAAACAATTCAAAAATCATTACCCCCGAAACAAAGGACAAGGCATGAGGGCCTGATGATGAGGCTGATAAAACATTTAAGTGAAGCACAATCAACAGCACCCATGCCTCAGTTCCTTTCCATTGCACAAACGGAAAATCAAAGATCAGTAAAATCGACGCTACAATCCGGACACGGGGTTGGCCACCAGGGGAGTGGTCCCCACTGGCAGGACTGGCATCTGCCCAAGCCTGGGCAACACAACCTTTTGCACGTCCAAAATACTAAAAAGGTTGCACGAACTCCTGGGCCTAAGTCCCAGGTCCGCTCCCAGAAAATTCAAAGAGTTCCAAGTCCCATGTATCATAGTCCACGCTGTAGGCCCTGTCATAGAGTCATAGCTCCAGGGTCTGCCGGGACCGTCAACAAAAGTTTCCAGTAGGTCAGAAGTTGAGTCCCCGACAGTCCATGTCCAAAAATAAACAGCCCGGTCTAATGAAAATTCCGTACTTACTGGAACTGTCAGACAACCGCGGCCAAAAAGGCCAAGGGGTGGTATATACTATATTATCCAAATATGAGTTTTTTGAATGAAAGAATCATCGATTCTATAGCTTGACGTGGATTCAATTGAAATAGGTGTGCGGAACAAGCCCTCAAGGGGCCCTATCAGCAAGCCCAGTGCCCGCCCTAAGTGAAGGCGGGCCTGAATATTCGTCAGAGGCCAAAATTCGACATTTCCATACGTGGGTATTCAGGCTCTCGCAGCATGCCAGTTGGCTGGGTAGACGTGTGAGCCTCACTAAGCTGCGTCATACAGTTGGCCCAGGTCTTGACAGTTGCGCATGGGCACATACACACAAAGCAGGGCCGATACATTGGGAAGCAGGCCGCCGGCCTTCGGAAAAGCAGTACTGCTTACGCACCTGCCTGGGAGCCCTGCACAGATGCAGCAAACAGCCCAAGTCCGGAGACTCGGGCCATGCCCAACTGAAAAGGGCCCAGATCCTCAACTGTAGGCTCGGGCCTGGGAGCAGGGTCTGAGGCCCAACCGGAAGCTACTGGAAGCTTCCAGCCAGGCCACACGCAACATCCAGGAGGCTGCCACTTCCATAAAAGAAGTGAGGCAGCCCAGGCCAGGCATTCTGGCCAGTGCAGGCAATGCGGAAGTGCTGCTGCGCTATCGCTTGATGCTGCGCTGCTGCCAGGGCGCTGACGGGGCACGTAGTGGTGAGGTGGGGCGCTGCAGGGCAGCGGGACGCAGGCAGCCATAGTCGGGCTGCTGAGCGCCAGGGGGTATAGCCGGCGATCTGGTGGTCTTCAGGGAAGGAGGCGCAGAGTGGGGTTATCAAGGTCTGATTGAGGGTGACGAGATACGTACCTGGTGCATGAAGAGAGGTCGGCTATGTTTGACAGTCATGTACATTGGTCTTCGAGTGTCGAAGTGGGCCTGTTCCGTGAACACAGCTGTAGATAGGATAGTCGGGTAGAGTAGGCTGGGCGCTGGGCGCCAGACAGAGAGGAGCGACTTTGAGTTCTGTGTTGGTGTGGCCTACGGGCTTGAACATTGGCTCATTACTTCATTGTATTGCTCTCTATGGAATCATGGATGGTTTTCTCGGTGCATTTGTACTCTCTGCTTGGACACGACTACTTGGACATCTGTGTGATTTCGCAACTTGGTTTTCTGTATATCGTTCACACTCATATTCCTTGCATAGGCTAATTCGAAATAATTTCCATGTTTTAACTTTTAACGATATGATAAGCAATAAAAGAATCGAATTCATTTATATACAAAAATTTCTGAAAAACATTGATAATTCAATCAGATAAATTTTAAATTTATCACAACAGAAATGTTTCAATAAACAATTCGTCCTTTAAATTGCATATCTTTTGCTCATTCTTCATGTCCCACCTGTCGTCTTCTGGTTCCTGCTATTGGAACTGCACCTTATACTGTTGCTGTGGTCTTTCCCTCCGGCCCGACCTATAAACATCTTCATCTATGAGGTGGGGTCTATATCATATCTTCCATCCGTATCTTGAGGTATCATGGATCTGCACGAGGGAAAGGAATTGCTACTGACACAAGGAAGGTAAGTAACTTAGAAAAGTGGAAAACTGTGCAGGTGTGCAGATGCTGGGGAATGTCAAGTCAAGTACGTAGGACGGACGGTCTGGGTATCCTATCACATCTATGACATCCCATGGTCCTCTGTACGCCGGTAGCAGTTTCTGAGAAATGCCTTCTTCCGGCAGAAACTCTTTGGACTTCACCCACACAAAATCTCCAACATCAAACTTAAATGGCCTGCGATGTTTTGCAGGTCTTTCGCATACAGCAACACGGAATTCATTTGGGGTACATGAGATTGCCAAATGCTCAGAGTGGTTGTAATCTCTGAATCTATCTTTGCCAAGTGTTCGCACGTCTTTCTCATACTGCAATGCAAATTCCCTATTGCCTGCTGGTAATCTCTGAATCTGATCGGTATTCGAGCTGTCAATCGGGCTTCTAGGTTTCCAGCCCTTGAGCAACAACTCATATGGACTGTTTGCTGCAACAGCTTTTTTTTTCTTTTTTTTTTTTGCTGCAACAGCTTATTCATCTAAGACCCATAGAATTTCATTAACTGATGCAGCAAAAAGAAAAAAGAAAAAAAAAGCTGCACCCAATGGGGTTGAAGAACTCTACTATGGGTCGAAGAATTTCATGGACTGTTTCCTCGTAAATCTGGTGTCCCTATCACTAACTATAGTCAAAGGATGGTCATTGGTCATTGTCCTTCACCCAATGGGGTTGAAGAACTCCAGAATTACTAATTCTGTCCTAGCTTGGTGGTGGTGGTTGGGGGGGGGGGGGGGGGGGGGGGGGGGGGGGGGGGGGGGGGGGGGGGGGGGGGGACGGGGAGGAGAGGGGAGGGGGGACACGCTGCACAATGCATGGATGGATAAGACGTTCAATTCGTCAAGAGAACGCACAGACGAAAGTCGGCCACAGCAACGCCTTGCAACAGCAGATTTCAGATTTTTCACTTTCCGCATAGGCACCGTTATTATTTTCAAATTACTAAATTAGTATGATTCATACGATCATCAAAGGGGGAAAAAGAAGTAATACTATGCAATATCCAATACCCTATAGCAAAACTTTTTTTTTTTTCCCCCTTTTGCTTTGTTTTGTATGGGAGTTCCCTTGGGAGCGAAGGCAGAACACGTAGAAAGCATGAGTAAGAAGCAGAGCAAGCGCGTGAGTGAGCGAGTGAGTGAGTGAGGACAGAGAGCGAGCCAGAGTCGTTCTTCCTTCCTCTTCATCTTCCCTGTCCCTTTCCTTGCTTCTCCAATGGCACAATCTTCATCCATACAGACGGTATACCTCCTTCCTCTTTTTTTTTTTTTTATTCTACCAACGACCACCTCTTCTTCCACCTCCTCCCCTTCCTTAACTTCCGATTCCCCCCTACTCTCCTTCTTCTTCTCGATACTGATCCTCTCCCTATCCGCTTTCTTTTTGCTTCTTTCAATCGTATCCTCTCTTCCTTCACCACCATCTGCTCTATCATTTCTTACCCGTTCTTCTTTGCTTATCCCCGCTCCTCCTGCTTCTCCTAGCTACTGGTAGTCATCAATGTCCTCTACGTCCACCTCCTGGTCCTCCTTTCATACCTTGTCCGTTTTCACGTCCTCCTCCTCCCTGACAGTCCTCCCCCTCCCTTACACTCCTGGTCCTCAGGATCGTCGTCCGTGTTGCTTAAGCAGCAGCGCGCAATTCTTCCCCTTCTCTTCGTCCTTTTCTTCTATCTGTTACAGCTCTGAAACCCATGTCCCTCGTCGCGGTCTCTCTCGATATTATTCACCTGTATCTTATTCATTTCATATAAGTTGATATAACCGTATCTTCCATCTCCTTTATCTATTTTATCTATCTTATCTATCCTACTTATCCGTCTATCAATGTATCTTATATTATCTATCTAAGATCTATCGACATACACTTATATATGACCCTTGTTAGGAGTTGGCCGGCTCTTCCATTACGTGACCATGATCATTGCCATTCTTCATTCAACTCTCTCTCTCTCTCTCTCTCTCTCTCTCTCTCTCTCTCTCTCTCTCTCTCTCTCTCTCTCTCTCTCTCTGTGTCTGTGTGTGTCTCTGTCTCTGACTGTGTGTCTGTGTGCGTCTCTGTCTCTGTCTGTGTGTCTCTGGGTGTGCGCGCGGCCCTCCGCGGCCCCCCCCCTCCGCGATGAAAAGAGGGAGGCTGTCAATAAACTCCCAATCGCTGTCCCTGACCACTCGAATAAGGATAGCGAACAATTAAGCAAGGACCAGTGGAGGGTGGTGGCCCGGGGCAGGGAGAATATGGAAAGAGAAAGGGGGGAAATAACAAGGGACCGCGCGCGCGAGAGAGAGAGGAGAAACTGCAACCCGTGTCGCTCCACTCCCAACTTGAAAGATTGACGAATCTTGTCTTGTATTGATGACTCTCTCTCTCTCTCTCCTTCTTTTACTCATGATACACCGTTCTTTCGTCAATATAAGATTCCTCATCAACAAACGGTAAAGGGGAAGGGGGTAAGATCGAAAAGATCGACTGACAAAAAAAAAAAAAAAAAAAAAAAAGATCGACTGACGGCCGCGAAAGGTAACAACCTTCTTT